ACAGCTGATAAAGGCTGCTAAGGAATCAAAGGCTTTCCCTTACTGACTCCTCCGGTACATGCAATGTAGCTTTGATCTTTTGATATGCTTTCCAAGATAGGGCGGTATGATAGGACAGTTTTATAAAAATATGAGCTAAAATGTGCTAGCGTATATCTGAACAGAAAAGATAACATAAGGGATCCAATGTGTTCCCATTTCTTGATGCGAGCATTCATTTCTGTGAACACCATCTTGTATCAAAATATCTCAGCATTCATGATTTTTCCAGAAGCTCGGTCTACTGACTACCCATGATAACAGTGAAGTCGTTCACAATAGCGACGTTGTGTTTTTTGCAGTGAAACCTCCACACGTTGGCAAGGTATCCTTATTTTTACGAATCTAATTTTTCGCTCCTTTTGTGATGCAAAGTTCGCAAACATATCTTGGTATCTTAGGTTGCTGCCGAAATAGCCCCATCTCTGACCAGAGAGCAGCTCGTCGTTTCAATTGCGTTAGGGATTACGATACGGAATATAGAGACGGTTTGGCTCTCTTCCTTTAGGGTCCACTTCAGTACTGAAAATTGCATATTCAGCTACTGCCTCCTAAGTCTCGAGTTATACGAGTGATGCCGAATACACCAGTTGTAGTTCGAGCCGGAGCTTCAGCATTTGCAGTCGGGTCTGCTTGTCGTGATGGTGATGCTGACCTTGTGAAGTAAGTTTTTCTCGAAGTCGTTCATTTTCCTATTGAATTCCACTTCCTACAAAAGAAAGCCTTCATTCACAGGCTGCTGAGTTGAGGCAAAACCCTTGGCCTCAGATGGAAATCAGACCAGCATTTCATTTTTTTTTGAGAGTGTGAGATACGCACTTTCGTATCTCACACTACAGAGATCACATTTCCTTACGACTTCACTCAGCAAATGGAGCAGACATAGTAGTGGCAGTGGTCCCGAATAGGGTAGTGGTAAAAGGTTTCGAGTAAGTCAGCCGATGCTGTAAATGTGAGCCTTGGCAGTAAGGCTAACAGTTACAGCATCATCTGATGGATTCGGAACCTTTTACGTGTGAGGACTGAACAATTAAGAATGAAATGCCTTTAGAGAATGGTAGTAGTAAGCATAGAAACCTATCAAGTCCCGCCTGAAGCTGGTTGTGGGCGTTTCACCCACCAAGAGAACACCGAAACCAAAAACAAGTAATCTTTTTAAACTCTCATGGAAGCTTCGAGCTGGTCGGACTCCTGAGTCACCGGATCTCTTACCTCAGATTCATAGCT